TCGTGTTTTTTTATTGAACAAAGAACAAGTTTCTGCTGCTCTATGGCCTATATGGACCCTATCACTTCGAAGCAGAGCTCTCACATTGACAAGGAACTCACGTAGACAAATTATGCTCAAGCAGCAAGTGCTTGATTATCCTTTAACAAAAGCTTTTGTGCTACCCAACTACCTGGCCTTCAAGCATCTTTACATTTTCCTGAACACTTCCTCCCCCACCTACCATCTTACACCTCTCTATGTGCCCCGCCTATTGAAACCAGTAATTCTTCAAACATGCTGCTGTTGTTATTGTAATGCAAAATAAGTGCAAGTGTTGTGCCTTGGGCTATTTCACAATGTAACAAAATTTTAGCCCCGCTACATGCCTCATCTCACCCCCACCCCTCTTCGCATATGATGCAATTCATTGTCCATCTGTTTCGAGCTACAACAGCTGTAGCTGTGACAGAAATTTTGCCGTGTTTTGGCCCTAGTACTTGGTAGCACATTTCTCTCATCTCGTCTCCTCGTTAACCATTCAGCCATAGGCTTCCTTTTTTGCTGGCCTGATAAACCAATGAAGTCAGTCAAGTGGAAATTAAGGAAAGTGTTCACTGATTCCTTAATGGGGGCTGGGTTATGCCGCACCGAACGAAGGCAAATATAAAACAAATGTCCTTAGGCTTTACAAGAACAACTACAGCCTGTCAAGTAGGTGCCGGTGAGGTAAATTTAATTGGGTAAGGATTTTTTGAGGATTTTGTATAAGAAAAAATATCGATAACAATTTTTTGAACACAAAAATACTTCGATAACAGCAACAAATGTTCGATAACAGCAACAAATTAAATGATTACATAACTTTATGAACACAAATATTTCGATAACAACAATTTCTAATAGACAACAATTGCGATAATAATTTTTTTTAAAGAAAATGTTTCCGATAACAATGTTTTCTAGATAGAAAATTTTGGATAACAATGTTTTTATGATCGATAATAGTGTTTTATATGAAAAAAATGTCGACAAGAAAAAGTTTCTAGAAAAAAGTGGTCCGATAATAATGTTTTCTAGAGAGAAAATTTTCGATAACAATGTTTTCATTGCCGATAATTATGTTTAGTATACGAAAAATGTCGATAATAATTTTTTCATGAGCGATTAACATAACAATGATTTCATGGCCGATAATAATGTTTTGTATCGATAACAAACATTTTCAAAGAAAAATCGTTCGATAACAATATTTTTCTAGAGAGAAAAAATTTCGACAACAATGATTTCATGAACGATAATTAGGTTTTGTATAGGAAGCATGTCGATAACAATGTTTCAATGGCCGATAACATTCTTACCTGCAGATATCACATTCAATAGTTAAATTAAATATGGTTTCATGACCGATAATAATGTTTTGTATGGAAAAAATATCGATAATAAAATTTTCTAAAGAAAAATCGTTTGATAACAACATCGTTCTAGAGAGAAAAAATTCGATAGGAAAGTTATAATGACCGATGTTTGTTTTCTCGCTCGATAACATTATTTTTTGAACAAATCACATTCGATAACACTGTCATCGATATATTACTAAGCCGTTAACAAAGTTTTTTTTTAGAAAAATTTCTATAACAGAGTTTTCTACAGAGAAAAAAATTGATCGATAACAAAATTTTCTAAATAAAAAAAATCAATAAAGTTTTATTAATCGATGATATTGATGAACAAATGATCGATAAATTCATTCTCTGCTTAAAAATGGTTCGATAACAAGGTTCTATGGTGGGACATTGATCCATAACTTATCTTTCTATATTATTATGAATTATACCGATAACTGACATTTCCATGAAAACGATGATCGATAACAATATTTCCTTTTGAAAAGTAGATCGATAACAAGGTTTTCTGCTGAAAATTGGATCGATAACAACCATTTTTTGTTGAAAAGTGGATCGATAGCATGGCATTCTTTTGTAAATACTATCGATAACAAGTTTTTTATTGTAAATAATATCGATAACAAGATTTCAAATAATAACCATTATCGGTAACAATGATTTCTGTTGAAAACTAAATCGATAACTATATTTGATTTTGATTGGATCGATAATTATATTTCCTATTGAAATGTGAATCGATAACTATATTTCTTATTGAAAATTGAATCGATAACTACATTTTCTCTTGAGAACGGGGTCGATCGGCAATAAACATAAGGTCGATAACAACATTTTATGTTGAAAAGTGAAAAGATAAAAGTGTTTTCAATTGAAATTTGTATCGATAACTCGATTTTCTATCGTAAATTATATCGATAACAATATTTTTAACAAAAACCATTATCGATAACAATGTTTTATGTTGAAAACTGAATGGATAAGTGTATTATCTATTCAAAACTGGATCGATAACAACATTTCCTATTCAAAACTTAAACGATAAGAAGAATCTCTATTGAAAAGTGGATCGATTCTCTCAAAAAACCTGAATCGATAACATGATTTTATATTGAAAACATAGTCGATAAGTGAAAAAACAGCAATTTTTCTATTGAAAATTGAACCGATAACAATGTCGATAGATCGATAATACGGTTGTCAACAAATTTCATTATCGATAACAATATTTTCTGTTGAAAATTTAACCGATAATAAGGTTTTCTATTTGAAACCATATCGATAATAAGGTTATATGCTAAAAATTGAATCGATAAAAAGATTTTATGTCGAAAACTGAATCGATAACAAGGTTGTCTATTGCAATATGGGCCGATAGCAAGGTTTTTAGTGTAACATATATCGATCTCTATAATTTATATAAAAACCACGAACGATGACTATAAAACTTGATTTATAAAAAAAATGTTGTATAATGAAAATTTGATCGATAACAAGATTTTCCATTGCAATATGGACCGATAACAAAATTTTTTTAGTATAAAATCGATATAATTTATTTTAAAAAACCATGATCGATTATTATAATTTCTGTTTACAACTTAACAAAGAAGATAATATCGATAACAAATCGAAATTATCTTCGATAACAAAAAAGATAATATCGATAACAAATCGATATTATCTTCGATAACAAAGAAGGTAATATCGATAACAACGTTTTTTTATATTATTAATAGTAATATCATCCTTAGAAAAGTAATCGATAACAAAGTTTCCTTCTAAAAATATTATCGATAACGTTTTTATTGTAGAAAATATTATCGACTATGGTATTCTCTAACAAGTATGGAAAACTTGAATTTTTATAGAAAATATTATTGAAAAAATCGTTAATACATTTTTATCGATAATAAGAATTTTTATCACCCAGCGAAACACTATCGATAACAGTTGTTTCTATTGCAAATATTATCGATAACAATGTATTTTACAGAAAATATTATTGATGCATTTTTTTATTACAGAAAATGTTATCGACTTTATTATAGAAAATATTATCGATATTAGAGATAAAATATTTGTTCAATAAACGATAGAAAATATTGTTATCGATAATTTTGTGAGAACAAAATTATCGATAACAATGTTTTCTAGTGATTTTTTTCTTGTTAGCACAATCTTTAGAGATACAATATATATGGGGATTTTTCAGATAATTTTTCGATAATTGTTATCGAAAAATGTCAATAACTCTCCTAAGGAAAAAATCGATAACAATTTTATCTTCGATAACAAAGAAGATAATATCGATAACAACGTTTTTTATAGGATGATATTACCATACTTGTTAGAGACTACCATAGTCGATAATATTTTCTACAACAAAAACCTTGTTATCGATAATATTTTTAGTTGGAAACTTTGTTATCGATTATTTTTCTAAGGATGATATTACTATTATAGTACTATTATAGTAATATCATCCTTAGAAAAATAATCGATAACAAAGTTTCCAACTAAAAATATTATCGATAACAAGGTTTTTGTTGTAGAAAATATTATCGACTATGGTAGTCTCTAACAAGTATGGAAAACTTCAATTTTTATAGAAAATATTATTGAAAAAAAATTAATAGTAATATCATCCTTAGAAAAATAATCGATAACAAAGTTTCCAACTAAAAATATTATCGATAACAAGGTATTTGTTGTAGAAAATATTATCGACTATGGTAGTCTCTAACAAGTATGGAAAACTTCAATTTTTATAGAAAATATTATTGAAAAAATCGTTAATACATTTTTATCGATAATAAGAATTTTTATCATCCAGCGAAACACTATCGATAACAGTTGTTTCTATTGCAAATATTATCGATAACAATGTATTTTACAGAAAATATTATCGATACATTTTTTTATTACAGAAAATATTATCGATAAATTTTTTTATTGCAGAAAATATAATCGATATAAGAGATAAAATATTTGTTCGATAATCGATGTTTTGTTCTCACAAAATTATCGATAAAAATGTTTTCTAGTGATTTTTTTAGCACAATCTTTTGAGACACAATATATATGGGAATTTTTCATATAATTTTTCGATAATTGTTATCGAAAAATGTCGATAACTTTCCTAAAGAAAAAAATCGATAACAATTTTATTTCAAGAAAATAGTCTTTATATCAAAATTACCAACAAAATCGTAAAATTTTGAAAATAAAATAAAAAAACCAACTAAACAAATAGTATTGCCTACCTTGAGGCGTAAGCGAATCGAACCGAAAAACCAAAGCATAACAAAAAGGCGCAAAAAATTACAACACAAGCACATTTGAAGAGATAATGAAAATTGTCACTCGAAGGCAGGTGACTGTAGGTTGGGGTGAGAGTGAGTGGGTGGGTGAGTGAGAGAATGCAAGAAATGCAAATATGGTTGAAGGAAAGAAAAATAGAAGAACAGAATTAAAAACCAATGAAAAAAAGGCTTAAGTAATAGCTCTGAATAATTGCGGAGCCGTGTTCAACCTTGAGGGTTATGTGCCTAAATTCTTTTTTTGGTTTGAAATTTGTTTTTGTTGTTGGTAAGCAAAAAATTAGTCACTCACCTCACTACGCGTGAGTATCGGTTTTTTACGTTGCAAAAATGAGGATTTCTTCTTGTGGCTGGTGGTGGTGGTCGAGGTGCCGACACTGCCGGTGGGTGTTAGACAACCGCCAGCGCCATGCGAATACGGATATAGGCTTGAGGTTGACGATATTGAGCCGGAGCCCATTTGGTCCGCCGCCAATGAACCGTGCGACAGTGTCGTAGAGGCATTATTGTCTGCTGCGGCGGAGGAGGTGTGGCTGCTAGGCGGCAAAGGCAATGCTAAAGGTTTGAGCGTATGCTGGGAACTGCTGGATGGTGACGATGATGAAATGGCGCCAATGACATTACTCGTGGAGGACGTGGACGAGACGACAACACCAACATCACTCTGAAATTTATTGGTATGATAATGATGATGAGAGGTGGTGGAGGAGGACATTTGTTGTTGTGGTAGATTGTTACTGCTACTGCAGGCTGGGGGAACACTGCCTATGTGATAGGAACAAATTCTACTGTTACAGCAGGCAGAGGTCGTGGTGGTGGTGCAGGACGACGATGACAACAACGACGACCCCTCATAGTGGCCATGCTGCAGTGGCTGGGCCTGCTGATGGAGGTGGTGGGGATGATGCAGGTGCGTGTGCGGTTGGTGGTAGTTATGGTGTTGTGTCGAGGTAGGTGAATTCAAATTATTGGGTAATGATTTGGTGGTTGGTTGCTGCTGTGGCGCCTGGGTATAAATGGTGGGTGGGGTGCGCCGTGACGACCGTGTAGCCGAGGCAAAGAATTTCGGATGTAACGAACGTACAGGTGATAGGGGTCTTGCGGGTGGTGGTTTAACATTACTGCCACCACTTGCATGATACTGTGGCAGTGGTGGCGATAGGGATGAGGGCGAGGATAGTGGATAAGCGGTGGTAAGCGTTGATGTAATGGAGGCTAATGTCTGGTGAAGTGAGGTGTTAGGACAGCAGCACAAATAGGTGTGAAAGGGTAATTAGTTGGAAATCGGAAGTGAAGGTTTGGGGTGATTGAAGGTTAATGGTTGTGTGGGTCGGTGGTTGGGTGAGGGTGGGTGTTTGGTGTGTGTTTCAATGGTGTATATCAAAAGGCGTTTAGTGGGAAAATGTGTGAAAATAGAAAGAGAAGAGGAGTAGGAGGGAAGAAATAGAACATAGATCCCAAGAGTATACAAAATGGAGAAAAAATATATATAGAGGAGAGAAATAGTTATTACAAAAAATAACAACAACAAATGTTACATTTAGTATTACTCTGAGGTCAACTAGATATTTTGTAAGAGGGTTTATAGTTGTTGTTGTACAGAGGGAAAAGGAGTAGGAAAATCTATGTAGGGCACTACAAAAAATTTCAAATCTATTTTTTTATATTTAAAAATTTAAAAAAATCGAAGTAGATACTTTTAGGCGCTCAATTAGAAAATATCTATATTGGTGCATACTTTTAGGGCTACAATTTATATTTCATGCATGCATATAACACAAGGTACCACAGGGTGAGAGAGGAAGGAAGGTGGCTAAGGAAGATCGACTTAAAAAAAATATTTAAAAAAAATTAGGAAAAAAATTTAAGTGCATTCATTTACGCTCTCAATAATTGATATATAGGTGCATACTTTTAGGCATATAATTTATATTTCATGCATATAATACAATGAGGTCAAAGCTGGGGAGGAAGGGTGTCAAAAAAAGATTGATTGATCTTACACCGATTTGGCTATAAATACGACAATTATATTCCGATCACTATGAAATTTTATGTATGCGATATTTTCGATATTCTTTAAAAGTGTATCAAATTTAGTTAACATTGGTACAGATTTCACTATAGCCCCCATATGGGTCTATCACCGATATGCATATAAGTCCGACAATTTGATGGCGATTTCTTTGAAATTTAGTACAACGTCATATTTTAATATTAGTAAAGTATGTACCAAATTTGATAAAAATCGGTTCAGATTTCACTATAGTCTCCATATATATCTTACACCGATTTGGCTATAGATCCGATAATTATATTCCGATCACCACAAAATTTTGTGTATGAGATTTTTTCGTTATTCTTTAAAAGTGTATAAAATTTGGTTAAAAGAAAATTCAGATTCTACTATAGCCCCCATATGAATCTTACACCGATTTGGCCATTGATCCGACAATTATATTCCGATCACTACGAAATTTTGTGTATAGGATTTTTTTTGATATTTTTTAAAAGTGTATAATATTTGGTTAAAATCGGTTCAGATTTGACTATAGCCCCCCTATATAACTTACACCGATTTGGCTAT